TAATAAACTAAAATTTTATTTAAGTAAAAGAAGATTATATAAAAAATTAAATTTTTCAGAGTTCACACTTTACATTTAAAATAATGGATTAAAATTTATAAAATAAATTGCTCAAAGCTAAGAGCATATATCATTTAAAAATCTCTTTTGCAAAACCCATATGCCCTGCAAAGGGAATGTCGCCCTACTAAAAATCTGCCATAATCCAACAAGCAGACACACACGGCCGCCCGCTCAGACAATTCACTTTACATATGAGCAATGTTAACCAAAGCAACCAAAAAATAACAAAAAGCCAAAAAGCAAAAAACAAAAGTTGGCAAAAGAGTAGAAAAAAGCCAAAACTGAAATTATAAAAGCAGCCAAAAAGCATTCAAATTATTCTCCCCGCTCATCCCAACCAGGGTGCGCTGGCAATTTTCATAATTTCTCTACAATTTTCAGCCATTTTATAAAATGAATTGAAAATCTGGCTTTTTTTTGGCGCACAAAAAAAAGCAGGCTATAAAAGGGAGAAACAAATATATAGAAAAGGAAATAAGGAAAAGAAAAACCATTAAATCTATTCATGCGCTTAAATAAAATGCTCAAGCACTTGACTGCATCCATAGAAAAAAAGAGAAAAAAAAAAAAAAAAACAAAAAAAAAAACTGTTCAGCATAGACGACAAAAATAAATAAAAATATTAAATAAAATAAAAATATTTGCCAAGCAAGGTAAAAGCCGTCCACGTAAAAGGTAGTCTAATTTGTTCAGAAGGCTTTTAAATAGACCAAGTTAACTTTGCCATCACAAATGAAAGCGAGCCATTGTTGACGTTTGCCTGGATGGCTGCCATTGCCTTATGGCTGACGAATCCATTGCTTAAGCAGATTATTGGCTAACAATTTTAACAATTTAAGCTGATAAGCTGAATTAAAGCGAAATACGTTGCAATTGTTAAATAAAATATATATGCATATTACAATGAAATTGATTTAATTACTTAGAGCGTGTGTGAAATGCAACGCCTCACATAATTGAACAATAAACTGAATGCGACACACACATACATACACACATACACACAGACACTCACACACTTGCACACGTACAAGTACCATTTGTATCTTTCTGGTTATTTGAACTTGCAATCGTTTGTTGTGCATAACCGAAAGCATTTTATGCATTTTTATTGCTATTTATTCGTAGCGCACAATTTGCAATTTATTTTTGCAATTTAACACGCCGCGCCGCAGCCAGAGGGCGTTAAAATAAAAAACAACAACAACAGCAACAGCATTCGACGCGCTCAGTGCCAGTTAACAACAACGGCAACAGCAACGATAGCAACGATAGAAACAACAACAGCAACAACAGCAACAGCAACATAAGTGCACAATAAATTGTTAAAACGTCCAACAACAACTGCTGCATCAATTGTTGCACAGATACACCAGAGCAGATACAATTACATGCACATTTATATACCCACTATTAACACAAGTTGTGCAGAGATTTGCATTTGCAATTAAACGTTTCAGATTCCTCCACCACCCTCCCCTCAAATGGGGGCGCCGTCTGCCATCAACCTAGAATCATTTCACCAAAGCCCATTACAGCAAGTGAGGATGCTGCTGCAACAAATTACAAATTACTTATATTCCCGATGGGAAATATATATACATATATTTATATATTCATACATATATTTATGTACTTACACACAAATGTTGTTATTCATTTTAAATAATAGCTCAATATTTTGCTCATTTCTAGATTCCTTATTATAGCTATAGAACTCATTATCGTATGCAACATCTTTTGATGTAATACTGCTTAATACCCTTTAATTTCATATATACATACATATATAAGTATTAGTACTTTAATACGGAGTTGAATATAGAAAGCATTTCAGCAATTTTATGTAAATTGCCTAATATTCCCAAGAGACTAATGTCTAATATTTCTATACAGACCTTCCATATGATACGATAATTTAACAAAATATGAACCAGCTGAGATTACCTAGACTATAAAGCACAATGTTTTCAAATCAATCTGATCCTAAGTTTCAAAAAACGCATATTTAAATCAAGCTGTTTCCGCCTCTTAAATACCATATATAAAAACATTTAAAACTTGTTTATATTATTATTTTTTATTGATTTTTATACAATTGAAATGTGTATAT